CCCACCCCCGCCTCCTACGCCACTAAAGCACATAGACTATCAATAATTATGATATTTTCAGTTACTGCCGGGTAAACTTGTAATAAGGCCTTCTGTAATAATCAATCTGAAGTACCTGTACAAATGTCTTTATTCTCAATGAACTACAGCTACCGGAAATATTAATTACCTCAAGTTTATTTTATGTCACTTTGTGCCACATAATAATTTTTTTTAAAGTTTGTATTACACGCATCAGCATTTTTTAACTTAAAGCTGTAAAGAGATTTTAAATTTCGCACAAAAACTAACACAAGTCATTGAAACGGTCTATAATTTCACGTTCTTTTGGATATTTTGAATGTTAGCAACGTGATTATTCTTTTACTTAAATCATTATATTTGATCAAAAACAACAACAACAACAAAACAAAAAAACACGAAAGCTGAACCTCTAAATAAAGTAACAATTAAATAATTTGAGTTATCAAAATAAGGTAACAATTAAATAATTTGAGTTATCAAAATAACGTAACAATTAAATAATTTGATTTATCAAAATAAAGTAACAATTAAATAATTTGACTTATCAAAATAACGTAACAATTAAATAATTTGAGTTATCAAAATAACGTAACAATTAAATAATTTGAGTTATCAAAATAAAGTAACAATTAAATAAAGTACACGACGTACGCTCGAATAAAATATGCTATTTTTTTCATCAATAAAGAATTGAACAAACGTACTCAAAATTGTTGAGTTTACATTCATATTTGGAAGAACGCTCAACAATTATTTGATAGATTGTTTAGGCAGAGTATTCATGAAGACACTTATGTCTCTACAAAAGTCAGTTGTCGTCCATTCTACAAACTTTCAACGCTCAACAAGTTTTATGTAAAGGTTTTAATCCGAAGCAAGCAAGTTTTTTTATTTGATCACCTGATGTCATCCCCATTTAGTTAACTGTCTTAACTTTTGTTGTTCTTGTTGTTTTTAGGTACGAACCACCCCTATTTTATTTTTTACTTGAACCACCCTACTATATTTACTTATTTGTTTTGGTTAAGCACAAAGCTACACAACTGGATATCTGTGCTGTGCCGATCACGGATATCGAAACTCGGTTTTTAGCGTTACAAGCCTTCAGACTTACCGCTCAGCCATTGGGAGACATTTATTTATTTATACAACGTTTTCTATAATAAATATGACTTATAAAAATGGCTGTCTTCTAAACCAACTGGATTTATTTAACTCTTGACGACTTGAATTTTATTGACAACATTTTACGTTTTAAACTTATGGAGCAGATTTTTACAAACATACACAGTTCATATTGAAGTTGCATTATTTGATGACCCAGTTAAAAGGTCAATGATTCTCATACGGATTTCACTGCCAATAGTTATATTTGTTCAATTTCTGTTCGTAGCAACATGTTATAAGAATTGATCCAACTGTTACTGTTAAACCTTCATTTTAAAAGACGAGCTCAAGGCTGAGAAGAACATTTTACACATGAGGCTTAGAGTTTCATGTGCTCTTTTAGGATTTTTAATACTGTTACGTCTGTGTTCGTTTGTTAATTTCTGTATAATTTCTTTAAGATGAAACTTTAGCGATACAAGTCCTTTCTTAAATAAAACTAGTTTATTCTTCCTCAATACAACTTTGCAATACACTTAATTTCCACAGTCACTTTAACTTAATACACGCTATAATTCACAACGATTCACGCATTTTACTTACGGTCACTACCACGCTTGACTCAATTGTCCGTCTCTATCTCTGCCTGTCTGCAATTCAATTAATTATCTCGCTTTATTTGCCTGCTTATGTACTAAAATAGAGGGCGCGTAGAAAAGACTAGAGTTGCCAGGAAGAGAAATGATCCTCCTAGAATACCAGCGCGCATGCTTCCAGCGTCACGT